GCCGGGAGACGGGAGTAAGGAGGCGTTGAGGAGAAGGATTCGGACTGGGTGTCCGCTTCAAGTATAGCAGAGCTGAGAAATTCACAAAGTTGAAAGTGTTGACCGAGTCCCATCACTACTTGGAACCCCAGGGAGGAACCTGAGACCAACTGAAGATAGCTCCTCTGAAATCCAGCTAGGTACCTGGGCGTCACGGAGCAACGTGGAGGGCGAGTCTCCAACTTGACCGAACGAATTACATCATTATCCAGGATATCATCCCGGCACACCACAAAGGTTAGTCAAGGTAGCTAGCTAGTAATACAATACATTATGGGTACATCTCAATCATTCATTCCCCCTAGCGAGGGGAGGCATCTCCAACCTCCACGCAAGCTACTCCCCCAATTATTCCCTAAACCCTCATTATCAAGAAAAAGCATCGCCTCATACATCATCTAGCATCATTTCAATACCCCTCCTGCTGACCCCCATCATATAGTGTGTTCGCGCTCCCGTCAACGCGACCGTGATGCTCGCTGAAACCCCACTCGACCTGCTGGTCCACAAACGGCCCCATCGTGCCGTGCTCATTCGTAAACTGTGCCGCCCCTGACTCGGCAAACATCAGCCCCTTCGGCTGCACATGGTGGACGGTCTGCGTGCTAGCACGATGGTCGTCCGGCATAGTCTTGTTGCAACTTGGGCAGTACATGTTCTGACACCGTCCGGGAGGGTGGGCCTCGACCAGTGTCTGACTAGAGTCGCGGTTTTCGTCTCTCATCCAGGTGAGCGATGTCCGCGGCGTCGAAGATGACAGAAGTTGTCGGCTTGTCCGAATAGACGAGTGCCGTAAATCGGTACTGTCATGCATACTTCCATCCAGCTCTGTGGGCGATACTTCAGAGGGCGGGAAGTAGGACGACAGGACTTGATTCGGGGCCACCCTTGGGTACTGCATCGGCGGGCTTGGGTGCTGGAAGATTGGGTTCGGGCTGGTAATGTACGGCATTCCACCGTAGCTGCTGGGGACTGTGAGGGTCTCCCAATTTGACTGGTACGTCGATGGTATTGAGTCATGGGCTGGCGCGCTGGTCATTGTAATCGGTGCAGGCTGGCTTGGTAGAACCGGCCGAGGTCGTAGAAGCGAGCTGGAGTTCGAAGGTCGAAGCGAGGGAGTTCGTGCTCTTTCTGCTGGCACCGGTATTTGGGACACTGGCTGCGTCTTGACTGGTAATTCGGATTTCCTGACCCGTTTGTGTGGAACATTGTATCGCCTCCTGAAAGCCCCACTTTCCGAGGAAGCTGGCGTCGGAGCGACCATCATGTCGGTGTTGTCGCTGCCAGGAACGAGGTTGGCTGAAATCATATCCCCATGCACTGTCGGTGTTAGCGCAGGCGAAGGCGGGAGAAGTTGAGGAGAATCGGCCCAACTTTCGACTGCACTGGGCCGCCGGTCAACAATAGCGCTCGCAAGGAATGAGACGGCGGCACCAGAGATCCCACAGATTCGCTGCTCCCATTCCTGCACAATGGTCTCAATCCAGTTGTAAATCGAACTGGTGCTCCTGTCGAGGCCTTGGCGAATCTTCAGATCCATGTCCAGTGGTTGCGAACTGTCTTCAAGGATATAGCGATACTGGAGCTCCAGGAGGTCTTTCAGCTTGTCCAAGACGCCCTTCGACTCGTCGACAAAGTCATGGATTTCCATTACAGGAATGAAACCTTTGCAAGTCAGAGAATGATTTCCTACCATGGCTAGAAAGTGCTTGGACATACCTGGATCGGGAATGCTGCGGTCGTCCGGGAAGAGGAGTTTCCAGAGCGAGTTCCAGTTGTCGATTTTGGCCCGTATGCTCCTGGCTTCCAGGGAGGTGATGATTTTCTGCGTGATACCATCCTCAGGATTCGAGTTGCCTTGGTCGTCCGCTATGCGACACATGACCTCAACTTGCTGCCTCAGATGGTGATCGAGGTCGTGTTTTACAGAGAACCCTTGACAGCACCTGGGACAGGAAAAAAGACCCGCGCTCCTCCGGACCGGAGGGTGATGGGCGCGGATGTGCTTTCTGGGGAAACGATTAGTGCCTCAAATTTCAATGCGCAAGTGCTGGATTAGACACTCACTTTAGTTGCGATATGTCCGAGAAGGAGTGCGTGGCGCACACATAGTGGTCCCTGACGTTGAACCGGAGGGGATTGCGCTTTCGGTAGGGGCAGCTGAGGTTGGAACTGGCGGCATTCTTGCCGCTATACCCATTGGCAGCGGCAGATCTCTCGCCTTCTTCCCTGTTGCCTCCGCCGTCATCCCGACCCCCGAACCCGTTCCCACCCTCGTCGCTGCCCTCCGCCTTTCTCTTCCCACTGCTCTTCTCATTATAACTCGAGCCAGGCTGATTCCCGTCCCCAAATCCTTGAGGGCTGTTGCCATGGGAGAAGGATGATGCCTGCGTGTAGACATTTCCAAGTGTCCCCTCGTGAACAGCAAGCTCTAGCTCCTGAAGATACCTCTGGGTGCAATCCAGAACTAACAACGGGGCAGCGCAGTCGTCCACGTCCTTCCCCCAGGTATCCCTCAGAACCAAGGTTGAGATTTCGTCGACGAGTCTGGCCTCGTCGGTGTACTGGTCATCGCCCTCATAGCTCTCAAAGGCCGCGCTGGTCCCTGGCCCGGGGCCAGCTCTGGGGGTGCTTGGGGAAACGGGTTGCGGGCGCTCTTGTGGGGGGTGCTGCGAGGTAGCTGGTGATTCACCGACGTCATGCTGCTCGTGGTGACACAAGGACAAGCGCGAATCCGCACGACTGCACTCGGACTGGGTGTTGACACATGTGGTGGACGAGAGGATCGAGTCGATGGACCCGATACCTCGGTTGTGTCTGCGGAACGGGAGATCGGCCATTGGGGGTTTAGCAGGCGCTGTGTCATCTCGGAGCTTTCCTTGCTGACCCGTCTTTGTGGTCTCGATGTCGGTGGTGGAGGGCGTGAAGGTCTGGGGCATGGCGTCTGTTGGGCTGCTGGGGGCTGTGGTACCCGAGAGTGACAAGGCATCTATGGCCGGGTCGGTGGAACCATGGTGGAAGTCTGCGTATTCTTCCGCTGACTTGGTGACATTGACATTGACATCGACGGTGGTAGTGGTCGTCGTCGTCGTCGTCGTCATACAGGTGTCGAGCTTGGAGAATGCACCTTTCCGCGAGTACGTACCACCAGCAGCAGCAGCCCCCGCTCCGGCAACTCGGAATCGATGAGGCATGGAGATGACAGTGTCATCGTGATTGGCAAGCTTTTGTGCGACGCGCGATGACACGAAGTCCCCGCCTCTGTTGCTGGCCTCCATCTCTTGGAGGATCGGAAGCTTGATCGGGGGCGACCACGTCCAGGGCACGTCAAGCAGGACCCTGCCTGGGGCTTGCTTGTCCAACCGTCTGACCGTCCGATCGACCGACAGGACCGACCCGACCCGACGACCCTGTTGCCGCGACACTTCCGCGACGGGTCAACAATGGCAATTATTGCCCAGGTGCGGTCAGGTTAGCAAGCAATGCGACTGCCCTGGCGCCGCGGCTCGCCTCCTGCGAATGACAATGACCCCAGGTCGGGATCGGGAAATGGGGCAATAAGGTCGTCCAGGCAGCCCAGCTAAGGTGAGGCAAAGACGGCCAGGCAGGCCCGGCCAGTCAGGTCGGGTAGGCGCTGTGGGTACTGGGTACTGGGTACTGGGTACTGGGTACTGGCAACTGGCAACTGCGCGGGCGGCGAACGTGTTTCGGCAGGAGCACCTGGGCAGTGGAGGTCGGGAAACGGGGAGCCTGGAGTTGTGGGTTCGGATTGTTCGGGGAGGGATGGAGCCGGAGCGGATGGATGGGACAATGACAATCGAAACAAAGTGCTTTCGTCCAGTTCATGCAAAAGAGATGAAAAGGGGATCCGACAGGAGAATCGAGGGCGGCTGCATCCCGGCATTTTCTCTCGCTGAGGGATGACCACCTCTCAGCTGCCTCCAATCTGACCTGGCCCGAGCCTCGCGACTCCTGAATCTGGCGTGTCGGCACCAAGCCAAGACCCAGGACGTGTTTTAATTTCGATCGCCCTAGGCCTGAACCTGCCCCCGTGGCGTCCAGCCAATTACCTGCAAGCGCGTCGGGTGCGACTGCCATTGGTTCAGTCACCCCTTCCTGGCCTCGATCCTACCCTTGTCGCCCTTGGCTGCATTCGTTTAGAGACCACCTGCGTTCGCTTCCAGCTTTCGCCAACTTTGCGTTGCCTTGCATCGATCTCTCTTGCCTCATTCACAGGTTCAGGAGCCAACCGATAAGATAAGATACACCAGCCGCGCCCCCTTATGCCCGAAGAGGCATTCATTCATTTGTCCGCTGCGACTCTTGCTTGCTTCTTTTTCGCCCTCATCTTTTCGGTCCTTTTCATCTTGAGTTGCGTTCTTTTGTCTATCATGTCTTATGTGTCTTATGCTCTATCAAAGTGTCTTGATTGACTTCCTTTCCGGGTTCTGATGTTTGGAGTATGACGACTCGGATCATCGGAAACACCACTGAAGTAGGGCCGGGGAAAACACAGGGTTGAGCAGAGATTCGGCATAAGTTATCCATTTGCTGTCGCTTGGCTCTGTCAGCATCTTGACTGTGATGCCCCGACAAAGGTCGGCTCTAAACTCCTCTAATGGTTCCCAAATTCACTTTTCAGACAACATCCCCTCAGAGCCACACAGTCAGTGAGTACCAGGTACTACGACTTGGAGTCAGATGGTCACCCAAAAACCAGTGGAGCCCAACAGCAGCGATCTTTCTCTACATTTCCCCACATCAACCTCCATTTTCACCAGAAGCCCGTTTTCTTGGATACTCATGTTCCCACTCGGCCCCATTCCACAACTCAACCCGGAACCCCATCCCCCTGTTTACAGCAACCAAGAGCCGCTTTCTATCTCCTCCAACCCTCCTGTGGAGTCACAATGACTACACCGGCAAAAAAGCAACCTATTCCTCCCAACCAAAAGGTTGAATGACAAGGGTGGGATTCGAACCCACGCCTCTTGCGAGACCAGCAAACATACCCGAGTATGATATTCAGGAAATCCTGAAGCTGGCGCCTTAGACCGCTCGGCCACCTTGCCAAATGATAGTTGTTGGAGATCTCGGGCGGTATGAGTCGTTCTGAATAGAAGCAGCTCTGGGGACTCTGCCATGTTGGAAGGACCTTTCTTCCCCGTGGTGTCTCTACTTTGTTACAAGATGCTTCTTGCACAGAGTCATGGTTACGGATTTGAGCGTGTCAATATTTGCAGCCGAAGCTTCCAATTCAACTCTTGCGATCATCCACATGCAGATGGGTGTGTTACCAGACTCAGAGCAGAGCCGGTCAGAAGACATGGTGACAAGATAAAAAGTCCAAGGAGCCCAAGCTGCTTTCAGTGTGTTCTGATAGATAAGCTAGACTACCGGGTAAGAAACGCTCTCCACGGAACTAAAAACTACCTAGGACACTCACTAACTGACCATCACATCCACGGCCGTTGTGTGTTCTTCCTAATTATAACCCAAGTCGAGCCTGGAGCCGATTGCACCACGCTACTAGAAAGCAACATGGCTCCGGCGGGTCATAGCCCTCTCTGCGCGTAAAATGCCAAAATTTTCTAGGGGGTGAAATACCAGGAAAGCAAAGAACAAGGCTGGAAACCCCGATAGTTCTCGAACTTGAAAGATCGCCCTTCTCAAAAACAAAACGTCATTGGGGTAAAAACGATGAGAAAGATGACTGAAACGAAAAGGACAAGTGCCCTAGTCGTCGAGCACAAGATGTGTACAGGCGCAGCCGTCGTGCTTCCAATCCACGAGCGGCTCCTCGGGATGTTCCCGGACTGGACTTTGACTTCGGGAGCTGGGGACAAACCCATCGCCGCTCTCGTCGCCTCCTCCTTGACCCGTCTTCTCTCCTCCCTATCCTTGTATCTCTTGGCGGCTGCATTGTCCCTCGCAATCCTCCACGCTCGGCCGTCGAGGTACTTCTGGTAGGCCTTCTTGGGGATCTTGTTTTTGGCTTCCTCCCACACCTGGTACTCGCACTCGTCCCACACCTGCAGCTGGTTGATGAACTCGACGGCTGACGACAGCTCGATGTAGGTCTCTAATCTTCGATGCCGCACGAGGTACAAGACCTGATCGAATGGTTTGCGGTATATCCGCATCAGGTAGGCCCTGACGATGGTTGGCGACTGGTAGAACCCAAACCTGCAGCTGACCACAACTTTGCCAGGCTTGGGAGCTCCATCCTTGGCAGCTCCATTGTCGGCATGCGCTACGTGTTCAGCCTCTTCCTCTTTTTTCTCCTCTGATGCGTCGGGATTGCGTTGTTTATATTTGAGTTCTCGCCAGCTGTTGCAGAACGCTTCGAAAGCGTATACCTCTGTCGAGGCATCTGAATCTGCCGACGCGACCGAGACCTGGTCGTCATCAAGTTGGCCTTCCTCGTCGGGTGCCGATGCCCCAGCGGACAGAGAGGGCGAATCGCAGCCGAGCTGTTTGTCGATAAAGTCGCAGACCCCTGACAGAATCGGCAAGACGTTGATGTAGCGGTACCTTGAAACGTGGACAAACAAGTGGCGATCGCCCGGCACGAGCTCGCGGTTCTCTGGATAGTCCCATTCTGGATGCGGGAGCATCTCGAAGTCATCCCCCCCATTTACGAGCGGGACCTTGCCCTCGAGGGAGACAATGGATGTGATGCCGTATTCTCGAAGAAACCTGGCGGCTTTTGCGTCCCAGGCTCGGGCGATGAAAAGACCGGGCGTAATCTCGGACTGGTGCCATTTCGGGTCTTGTGACATTTTCGGAAGCGGAATTGCGATGGGAGTCGGAGGAAGCAGGTCTGTGTGGTTGAAAGTGCAGAAGAGAGGAGTCGCGGTATCGAGTCGGGGGGAGGGGGGGGGGAGGGTATACTGGCAGTTTGTGGCAGGAATTGACTCGGAATGATGTGTGAGGATAACGATGGTGTGGTGCTGGAGTTTGGAGTGGACCGCGGTATATATAGACAAAATATACCGGGGGATCATGAATCAGGGTCCCCTCTCGTCTGGGAAATATTATGGTGCACGCGGTGACCGTGGCCGATGGCATCGTATGAGTAACGCCTACGGTGCGCAACCGCACTTCGGATGGCGGGAAAAATACATAGTTATGAGTCTCTTGTAGCTGACCCGAATCAACATCATCTGACAACTTCTATAAGCATAGCCCTCCAAAATCTTCTGGTTAAAGTCCCGAGGGGAGGCTGCCTACGTTACGCAGAGGCTGTTATTCAAGGTCTACTCGCAATGATACACTTTGCGTTTGTTTTAGGTAACGTTACTGATAGAGGAGGGCAAGTTTAGGTAGTTACCTGAGAATTACCCCCCCCCCCCCCCCGCCCCCCGCGGACAATGAATCAGAGGCATCCTACCCCAGGGGCCCTCGGATCATGATATGTCTTATGAAAGAAATATTGTACAAGGCAAAGCTAAATACAAGCTCGAGACATTGAAATCGTGGCGTTTCAACGCATCAAACTCCATTTTTGGTTGTTCGGCTTGATTGTTCATCTCAACCCAAATCCCGGACAAAGGCAGCACCGCAGCAGACTCCTGGCTTGAAAACACACGAAAAGAACTAGCTGATCCATTAAACTCGAGGATGCAATAAAGTATAAATAGATTGCATACTTGTCCCAAACCACGCCCTCTATTGCCAGCTAGCTTATCTTTCTTCTGCGGTAAAGGCAAATCCCACCGAGCTGCACCTACTACATCTTTTTACACAAAGATCGCCGTTACCCCCTAAAAACCCATTTCGGAAATCCCAACACCACCATCCATGGCCGGTAGCAAATCCAACCTGGACAACCCGGGAGAGCTATGGATCAACGACGGGCATCGATAAACAAGATCTAGTCCAGCACTGGGAGCCCCTAGACATCACCAAGATCGACGACGGCCTCTTCCTCGGAAACGTAACCTGCTCCACCGACCCCAGAACGCTCCGCAAGCACGACATCACCACCATAGTCTCGCTCCTGATCGGTCCGTACGACCGATGAGAACCCCCCGAAATCCGACAAATCGTCCCCGGGGCGCGGCACCTGTTCGTCCCCTGCCGCGACAGCAACTCCACGGACCTGCTCGCCCGCCTCCCCGCCATCTGTGACTCGATCAATTCCCATATTTACCCGTTTCGCCCACCAACCTGCTCACCAACTTTCCCTCTGTCCGCAGCCCAAGGCGGTGCCGGCCCCAGCCAGCACCGGCGTACATCCTCATTACCCCCCTCAGCAGCACACTGGCAGCCGGCACAATACAACGTCCTCGTCCACTGCTACGCCGGCAGCTCGCGGTCGGCCACGGTCGTCATCGCCTACCTGATGAGAAAGATGCGCAAAGGCAGGGATACGATGCTCGATCTCGTGGAGGGGATGCGTAGCGTCTGCCCCAATGACAGCTTCATGGACCAACTGAATACCTGGGAGAAGACCCGGTACACGCTGTATGCTCAACCCCAAAATCCTAGGCTGCCGTACGAGCCGAAGCCTCTATGCGCGGACTACCTTGTTCGGCTTGAGCGGAGGAAGAAACCAGGGCTGAGCTTGAACTCGGAGGCTATGGCTGCGTGGCCCGGGGGATATCAAGCTGGAGGATCCAACGCCATATGTGTCTGGGGAGACGGGACCTGGAAGCAGTGGCAATGGTGGTATTAGTCGGTGCAGTTTTGTTCGTGTTCGTGGGAACTAACTAGGTTGATTAGCACGAGTTACCGTTACATGTACCTGTTGAAGATCCTGATGGATGACAGTTTGCTTTATGTTTTCCTTTTCCTTTTCCTTTTCTTTCTTGGAATTTGTGGCGTATGGACAGGTAATTAGCGTACGATGAATGATTATCTCATTGGTGGTATATATTCGTCACTAGCGGAACCTTTCTTGCTTTCTCTCCTTTTCCTCCTCTTTTTCTTTCTTGGCGTAGTTTAGACATTACGTGCAGGTACCGTACGGTAGAAGTGAAATGGCCAACGATGTGCAACGTTGTCAATATACCATAATTACCTGGTATCTACCTCACCTTCCTAGCTCACCTACCTAGGTTGCTTGTAGGACCGACAACCAAGGTATATCGTGTTAATCACCACAACAATCCAAGTCCGAGCAATGACCCACAGCCACAGCCACACGGTCTCGAAAAACAGCACCGGAGAGCCTCGGTACATGAATCATATGAAAATGAAAATCCTGCCACCATCTGCCACTGCCACTGATCCTCACATGCATAATTAAGGTACTTAGGTCCCGTTAGACGCGCAGAGTTTGTGGTTTCAGTCATGATTGAGTTTTTCACTACTGTGTTTTATCAACTTGAACCTTTTCTCGCAGCGTCCACCGTTTCAACAAAGCCCAGCTCTATCAGCCAAGCATAGAATCAAACTTTGGTCCGGTAGACATCGGCAATAATCTCAAATCCCCTCTTTCCCCGCTCACAATGATAATTAACCCCCGTCCTCACTTCTGACAAAACGAGTGAAACCCAGCAATAACCGTAATGAGAGACAGCAGTCAGCCATGAGTAAAAGCAGCACCAAACCCAGCACGTCCAAGGGAAGGCATGGCATAGCCGACCTCGCATCCCCCATCAACGACCATATCAGCCAGTTAGGTCAGGTACCTGACTAATTTACTCAGTTGGGAATCATCTTGAGCGAGTAGTTCCCCGACCCGTCCTTGCTGTGCCCGCCCGTAGGCGACTGGCAGCAGCGCCCGGCGCCATTGCCCGAGTACCACAGCTGCTGGCACTGGTTGCACCAGGCCCACTTGTCCTGCTCGCCGTCGGCGGGGGCGCCGCTGCTGGGCAGCGCGTAGTCGGCGCTGCCGTCGTGGTTGTGGGTGCCGCCGCGCGGGCACACGCCGTCGGACGCGCTCTTGCTGTACGCCAAGCCGTAGCACTTGGTGCACCACTTCCAGCCCGGCTGGGCCGTCGACCCGCTGGCCGGCGCGCCCATCGTCAGCTCGTAGTTGCCGCTGCCCGCGCTGATGTGCGCGCCGCCTGCCGCGCAGGAGTTGATCCCGTCGTAGCAGAGGAGTTGGCAGGCTTTGCACCAG